GTCTTTATCTGTTAAATGTTTTAATAATCACCACATCTTTTAGGTATTGTACTTATCATTGAGAGCGCTTTCTTAAGCACTGGGTAATCTGTCTCTCTTTACAGCTTGGAATGACAGAGAGGGTCACCTGCCAACCAATGAGAAGAATAGAAGGAGACAGACTAACGTCCTGAGACGTCCCATGTTTAATCTACTTACCTGTTATGTAAGCCAACACAGGACCTAACCCCTCATCATAGTAGTGGTAACGAACCTGTTTTCCTGTCATCTGAAGTAATTATACACGGCTACACTCTGTGAAGAACAAGCCGGTGGTGGTCACCAACACCTGCTACCCCCCCCCCCACATCAGCAACGGCTACGATTTCAACAACATGCAGTGTCACCAACACCTGACACCCCATTACCACGATATACCTACATTAGCGTTGAGTTCAAATGTAATTTTTTTCATTTCATTTTTCATTTTTCTTTCAATTATGATACCCATTCATGTTTTATTGTTTTACATTTTCTGTTTCTAAATAATAAAGTGTTTATCATTGTCTGTTATTATTTCTTTTTCTATTCATTAATTTTCCTGAGGAGGAGCCAGCCTTGGTAATACTGACTGAAGTTGTTACAGGGCTGAGTAAGCCTTCACACCGACACTAACAATGCTCTTTTCTGTCACGTCAGAGATCATAGCCATCCTATTGACTGGTCTTCTGGTAAAACTGTCTTCCCTACTTCCAACTCGAACAGTCGCCGTCTAGTTGAGTCCTCTCTAATACACAACTTTCCTTGTATGAACCTTAGCCCTGGCTTCGTCTCTGTAGATGCCTTCCTCTCCCACTACATTGTAAAATGCTCCAAACTTCAGAACACTCGTGACTTAACCTGACTCCTCATTTTTTCTTTTTCTTTTTCTTTTTCTTCTTCTCCCTCTTCCCCTTTCCTCTTTCCTTTTCTCCTCTGGGTTGTCTTTCTCTCTTCTGTCTCGTGTTTCTGTTCCTTCTTCATTTATTTCCCACTTCCCCTTTCATGCACCTCTGTGCACTTGCTCTCCCACAGTGGGCACCTAGCTCTCTTGCAGTGCTCCCCTTCCTTTGTATTTGACTGGCTCGTCCTCCTTATTTCCCACTTCTACCACTACCACTACTACTACCTCTTCTACTACTACTACTACTACAACTACTGATGAAATTAAGACATGTGCAGCATCTGGTTGTCTTTGTTGTGGACATTTCGCCATCCAGTGGCTGGCTGGATGGCGAAACGTCTACGATAGGGATGCCCGGGTGTTGCGCATGTGTCTTAATTTCATCTTGTCGGTATTATATACCATTCTTGTACTACTACTACTACTACTACCACCTCTTCCTGCCTATATATAGCTGTCCTGCTCCACTTCTGGTTACGCTATGTCTTAACAGACATTCTCTCCTCGCCGTTGTCTGAAGTCTCCATGCCTCAGCCTGTATGTGAAGTCTTCACGCCATACAGCTAGTGTTGGCTCTCCTCATCACTCACAGCCAGAGTTACTCTCTTCACCGAGTGGTGGTTACTGGACCTTCGTCTTCACCATCAGGATTGGTGCGTCGGTGGCTGCCTACCCAAGGGCAGGAAGCCTCCCTCTGCACTCCTGTTGCTGTCTGAAGTCTCCACGCCTCAGCCAGTACATGTGATCTGCACGCCACACAGCCAGTGTTGTCTCTTCTCACCGTTCAGGGCATACAGTGCTCCATCAAGCTACAGCTCACCTCCTCAGTGTCCTGTGCCTCCAGAGACGGACTCCACAAGAAACTTTAAAGTTATAGCCAGGCAAGTACGTGTGTCTACTTCACACGTACTTGCCTAACCAATAACTCTCACAGATTTACCGCCACATCTAATTTACGATGCCTTCAATGCCTTCCACTTCCTTCCCCCTTACCACTCCTCCTCTACTGCCAACACCTGCCTCTACTCTGTCTACTCCTGCATCTAAGACCTACCCTGCCTCTACCTCTTCCAAACCCAGTTGTTTCTCGCTTAACCTCAAATACTCTAAATCTGATCATGCCACTATCTGTCCTGGAAATTTATTGTACCAGATCACTGGCGCTCCTCAACTGAAAGTCTTTAAAACCAACTCAGGCTTCAAACTACTTCTTGACAGACATTCTTACGAAACGTACACCTCAACCGAGACCAGACAAAAACTTCTCAACGCAGGCTTCACCATTATTTGGACTCCTGAGCACCGCGCCAAATTCAGTGATCGCAAAACACGTAGACTATTCTCTCCTGACTGCCTATGACACAGACAAAGAAGACTTAATCAAAGACATTAGTACTAAGAACAAAGTCTCTGTTGACGATATTTACAGACCTGAAAACTCTACCATCCTCAAAATACGCTGTTCAACTCCTTCTACACTCTTCAATCAAGGAATCCTTGCCAAGACCATCCGCATTCCTCCAAACACTTCTCTTCACTCCAAACTTTCACCCCATCACACAATGTCTGAAATGCTACAAATTCGGCCACGACAAAATCTAATGCACTTCCACACAAACCTGCTCCAGATGTTCAGCAACTGGCCACTTCTGGAACACTTGTAACCTCCCCCTTAAATGTTCTAACTGCGGCGGATCACACACTGCAGTTGCAAATTCCTGCCCTACTAGAAAAGACATTCTCTCCACCCTCAGAGCCAGCCAACCTCCCTCCCTCCCCAACCCCTTCCCTGCACCTCCCTCACCTTTCATACCTCCCTCCCCTACCCCCAATGCCTGGGCCTCCCCACACTTGGTCTACCTCTCCTACTCTACACACATCAAACACCAAACACACAGACTACAAGCACTTCTCCTTTACACCTACACCCACACTAGTCTACAAAACTAACTGTCAACTCGCCACTGCTGCCCACTCTGCGATGGGTAATCTCACAGCTTCCAATCAGACTACTCACATGTCCTTAACCTAATCTTCTCTGCTAACATCTTCCCTCTTTAATTATCCCTCCTTCCTGCTTCTCTTCTAAGCCTACTACAACCTCTCCCTCCTCCTCTCTCCCACCCCCCCCCACTTCCTATTCCAACCAGCTCTCCTCCTCCCCTACCCTCTTCACTACTTCCAACCCCTCCAACAACACCCCTGCTGCTGCTGCTGCTACGACCACCCCTCCCCCCACTTCCTCATCCTCTTCCAAAGCTTCCACTTCCTCATCCCTTACCATAGCTTCCACTTCCTCATCCCTTACCATAGCTTCCGCTTCCTTATCCCCTACCAAAACTTCCACTTCCTTTGCATCCACCTTTGCCCACTCCTCCACCACAACCAAAACTTCCTCCAGGTCCAACTCCACCTCCTCCAGACAAAATCCACTCAAACCTAAACCTGCCCCAACTTCTGACAGACAGACCAAAGAATATAAAAACAGATCCATCTCTTCCTCCCCCTCCAGGAAACGGGTCCGTAGCACCTACAAACACACATCCACTGATGGCACCACTATCACGGGCTTTAATCCAAACTCCTCCCCCGACATTAACTTTGCGATGACGAAACCATTAAATCACGTTTAAGGTGATTCAGTTCAACGTACGTTCTTACTTTACAATTAGACACCTGGCCGAGCTCCTTGAAGCAGAGAGGCCAGATATTGTTTTGCTAAACAGTACCTGCCTCAAAGCCCCTCAACGTATCCGCCATTATGGTTATACTGCACTGCAGTCCCCCTATGATCCCCACGATGGGGTTGCCATCCTTGTCAATTCCAACATAAAACACGAATTTCTCCCAATCCCTTTTTTTCACCAACACTGTCTTGCAGTCAGAATACACACCCACCTTGGCCCCTTTATCTTTTTCACCACCTATGCTCGCCCAAACACCATTCTCAACATACACGACCTTTCCTTAGTCTTCAACTACACCAACACACCAACATACCTACTAGCTGACATGAATGCCAAACACACCGCCTTTCATCACAAAAGTAACAACCAACTTGGCCTCCAATTACTCAACTTCACAAACCATAAACACCTAATTCATCTTGGCCCAGACTTCAATACCTTCTACAACCACACGGGCCAAGGCAAACCAGACATCATTCTGGCTAACCGAGCCAGCTCTCTATTTCAACACTACATCTCACCTGGCCCCATTACAGGCTCTGATCACATCCCAGTCATCTTACACATCTCCTCCAACCCTATCCTCATTCCAACCACACCTTCCTTCTCCTACAAGAACGCTGACTGGGATGCTTTCAAACAACACATAGACAATATTAACCTCACCTATGACTACAACAACAAACCTATCTCTGACATCGATACTCAACTTGATATCATCCAGGACACCATTACACAAGCAGCCAACATCGCAATACCAAAGAAAACTCACACCACTCGTTATTCCTTCAAACCGTCACTCAGAACAAGAAGACTAATTATCTGCTACCACAACCGCTTCCTCTACAACACATAGATTTAATCAAGTCTGATTAGATCTCACTTACCTTAGAAACGATATTTTACACAGCCTAGACCAAGACCACAACAATCACTGGTCACAACTCATACAACAAGCAGACAAACAGCGTATTAAAAACACTAAAGCCTTCTGGAACTTTATCAAAAAAAATCAGAGGCACAACTCCCACCAACAAATTCAAACACATCACCCACAACAACACATACATCTCAGACCCGCAGGCTGCTACCAACATCTTCAAACACATCTGGGAGAACATCTTCCACCCTCACCCACCTCACCCTAACGTTATTCAACATATTCAGAACATAGAACACTGGAACACTGCACACACACAAGAAACAACACCAGACAGTCACATACATCTAGACTCTCTTACCTCCTCCCAAGAACTCGACACTCCTTTCACCAACACAGACATTAAAACTCTCCTCAGACTCCTTCCTCCCAAGGCTCCTGGTGCTTCTGCCTAAACCATATTATCTGAAACACCTTCCTGACTCTATCATTACTGGCTACACAAGCCTCCTCAATGCCTCCCTTGCCTCTGGATACTTCCCTTCCCTCTTCAAAGCTGCTACTGCTATCCTCCTTCCTAAACCCAATAAAGACCACTCTGACCCTAGAAACTATCGCCCTATCAGCCTCCTCGAAACTTTAGGAAAACTCTTTGAAAAACTCATCAATCATCGCCTTCGCAGATACTTGGAACACAATTCTCTACTTTCTGATGGCCAGTTTGGCTTCAGAACACACAGATCCACACAGGATGCCATTAACATTATTCTCAACTACATCCACATAAACACAAAACAAAGAAACAGGACAGCCCTGGTTGCAAAAGACGTTGAAAAAGCCTTTGACACTGGCACGAAGGGCTCAAGTACAAACTCTGCACTACAACCTGCCTCTCACTACTCGTAAACTCCTCTGCAACTTCCTAGACGGCCGTACCATGAGAATCAAATTCCAAGGCTGTTACTCTGACTACTTCACACTAAAAGCCGGAGTACCCCAGGGATCTGTCCTCTCCCCTACTAACGACATTCCAACACCTGTATACCACAACTCCATCACACTAGCCTATGCAGACGACATTACGCAACTTATCACTCATGCCAATATAGATACACTCACACACAAAACACAAAATGAGGTCGACAGGATAGCCATCTGGGAACAAAAATGGAGGATCAAAACCAATGCAGCTAAATCCAGCATTACGTATTTTAACTACAGGAAACGTGATCCTCCATTACCTGTCGAGCTCAGAACAGCTGACACCCGCACTTGCATCCCCATCACACAATCTGTCACTGTTCTTGGTGTTAATCTTGACTACCTTCTTCGTTTACACGGACACAATCACTCAAGGCATGCAATAGCTAGTAAGGCCCTTGCGGGCCTCTACAAGCTGAAACATGCCTCTCAACGCACCAAACTACACCTCTACGAATCCCTAATTCGTCCTCTGATAACTTACTCTCCTCTAGCCCTTTCTCTTGCAGCAAAAACAAACTTAAACTGCAGCGTGTCCAGAACAAGGCGCTGCGCTGGGTGCTTGATGTCAGGTGGGAAGATTTCGCCACAAGCGAGTCTCTCCATGCCCAATTAGACATCCCTGCGCTGAATCTGTACTGGAAGACGCTCAGTGACAGACAGATAGACAAACTTGAGACACAACATGACTACTGGACCTCTCTCCTTGACGAAGACATTCGCAGACCCACAAACCAACACAACCTTTTCTACTCCTTGCATGATCCTGTTCCAAACCCTGTTTACAAATAACCTTGGATTCGCTGACAGGTACCTTCTATGACAGGTACCATTCTCTGACCCACGTTCGCCTTAGCTTTTGGGTTAAGACATGGCTCAGTTCTACACTCCTCTCTAGCGCTAAACGTCGCATGTCCCTTCCTTCCCGCTCACCCCATTGGAGTCCCAACAGAAGAGCCTGAATTTCTCTTCTCAATATCTGTCCCACGATCGCCGTCGCTGCTGGGTTAAGCTCTGGCTCTATTTCTACGACTAAGAACACTCCTCTCCAGCACTATTCTTCGTCTGTCCCGTCTTCCCCGCTTATCCCATTTGGGATCTTACCTGAACTTTCGTTCGTTCGTTCGTACTTCTGGTTAGTGTGACTTTGTCAATGGTCCAAGTCGGACCGAAACGTCGTCGTAAGCTTCTCTCTTTTATGTGCGGGTTATTTGTGTATCGTTCCAGTCATGGTATTGTGCCTTTTTTTGTTATCTAATTATATTTAGGGGAAAGCGCTAAACTCGAAGGGGTTATACATCGCCTGGAGAATGGTAGGCAATTACATGTATTCTCGATCCAAGGAAAAAGAGGATAGCTTCAATTCCTTGGAACAAAAGCCTTTCACCGGCACTGAGGCACCTTAGAAAATATAATGTTGGCACAATACAAGTTTGTTCAGTTTATAAGTCTTGACTGCATCTTCTGTGTTCCGTTATGTTTACTCCGTTAATCTTCCGTGTTCCGTAATGTTTACTCCGTTAATCTTCCGTGTTCCGTAATGTTTACTCCATCTTTCATCCGTGTTTCTACCTTAATGTTTCCTCCATCTTTCGTGTTCCTTCCTCAGTGTTTATTCTGTTTTTCTTGGATGTAAATGTGGTGATACCGACAAACTTTAATAACTGTCCTAAACTGTACACAAGTGTTCTTTATCCACAAGTACCAGCATATAAATATGGTTACACCAAAATGTCTATAAGTACACAAGCTTCCAAAATTTTCTATGTATGAACTTTCTTCTAAATTAAACATTGTCTACACAGGCAAATGTTACTGAAACAAAACCCAGCAGATTGTTCAAAATTAGCTTTTTCACAGGCCTGGCCACAAATAAAAAAATATTTACGTACTAAAAGAGGCTTACTAAGACAAACAGTATAATAGACAGTGTCCAGAATCCTCAGGAAATTCGCAAAGTCCCAAAATGGACTAGTGTAATATATGTTTAATTGGTCAGGTAGTGTGCGTGGAGAGAGGAATATCCTGAGGGCTGACTGATCCACTCAAAGGTGAGCGACCACTGGATATCCTCCCAAATTGGATAATAATGGACTTCATTGACAATTGTGCTCGAGGCTTTCTGGCGGTAGTTACACCATGATTAAAGTAACTTTGATAAACCTGTACACATTCCAATATTACCTCAAGACACATAATACACATAACAATTGTTACTAATTAATAATAATTACGACATTCAGGAAACAGTACTGACTGATACTAAGGCGCATGTATTATTATTAAATGCCACTGTTATCACTTTAGTTTTGAATGATATTTACGAACACATAAAACAAATCTAACACATCCTAACAGAGGGATTGTTCTTAATAATAGTATAATAGCACATCCTAACACATACATGTTATGCATACTTATAAACACAAATATGTATACAAATACATTACAACAGTATGGAAAATATAGATATTATATCCATCATTGAAGCCCAGTTAAAATACAAATGTACTGAAATGTACTTATATATAAAACATCAGTGATAATGGCAATAATCTGCTACAAAGTTCAGCAACCATACTAATACTCTTGTAATACTGTAGCCTTCAGTGATCACTGTAAGAGTTCAATGATCTTGATAACGTGAGACAGAGCTCAGTGACAACGGTAACTTTAACATAGAACAGATCTCGGTGATCATGGTAACATGGGCCAGAGCTCAGTGATCATGGTAACATGGGCCAGAGCTCAGTGATCATGGTAACATGGGCCAGAGCTCAGTGATCATGGTAACATGGGCCAGAGCTCAGTGATCATGGTAACATGGGCCAGAGCTCAGTGATCATGGTAACATGGGCCAGAGCTCAGTGATCATGGTAACATGGGCCAGAGCTCAGTGATCATGGTAACATGGGCCAGAGCTCAGTGATCATGGTAACATGGGCCAGAGTTCAGTGATCATGGTAACATGGGCCAGAGCTCAGTGATCATGGTAACATGGGCCAGAGCTCAGTGATCATGGTAACATGGGCCAGAGCTCAGTGATCATGGTAACATGGGCCAGAGCTCAGTGATCATGGTAACATGGGCCAGAGCTCAGCGATCCTGTTAACATGCTACTAAGCTCAGTGTTCCGGGGCAGACGGGGAGCGGTAAAGATGCACAAGAATCCAGCCGAAGGTGCCGGCGCAGGCCAGCACAGGGAACATCACTTGCGATGCTCTGTTGTACTTCATGGCTGCGCTGCACCTCCTCTGGTGTAGAACCAGCAGGTTATTATTCATGCCGTGACTTCTCGCTGGTAAGCGACAAGCCACCACCGGGGTTATTCCTTTTACATTTCTCAAGGCAGAAGGAGCATTAAAGTCGCTCTGGAGTTTGTCTACGAGGCGTTGATTTTCAATGACTACCAGTGTGACTACTATGAGGAAGTCTGTTATGATGAGGGAGACATGCCAAATGTCTATTAGCTTGAGATATGCTGTCTTGGGAATGGACTGGCTTGTTTGGGTGAAGAGGGAGGCTAGAACCAACAGCGATGTAAGAGACACCATGATGCGGTCCTGGTGTGAAGGAAAAATTTATAAAAAAATATTGCAGTCAGTTTCGATCTTTTACTCCTGAAGCAAAAGAAAATACTTACACAGACACTTTCGAGCATTTATTGCATAGGCTTTTTTATTTATACACCATTAGTGAGGAGTCATAGAGGTACGACCCCTGAGCAATATTAATAATAATAATATTACCGTGAAGTCCTCCATGGCGAAGAAGAATGTGAGGTAACATATGGAGACCATGAGTAGGCTGGGGATGACAGAGTTACCTATGTAGTAGCCGTACTGGTTACGGAACTGAAGGCGCAGCTGTGTCCGCCAACGAACAATCCAGTAAAAAGAAATTAGAAATCCAAGTCATAGCAAACGCAAGCGTATATAAACCATGTTCAAAGTTTTTTTTTTTTTTTTTCAGATAATTTACAAAAAATATTCATCGAGTTTTTTTTTCCTGGCGACTCAAATGAGACGAGTTGAAAAAAAAATGTATAACCTCTCTTACAGGAGGGGGTTGAATTCTGTCTCATGAATCATTCTCTTGTAATCTGAGCATACAAGAATACTAACAGCTAGGATAAAGTAGCACATACAATGTAAATGAGACATTTGTGTAACACTTGAGTATCTTCATTCTGGAAACGTGTCGCGATCCATTGGTTTCTTCAGTCCAATACAGAGAAGAACGGTGGAAGATGCGGAGGGTCTAGATGCCTGGAGTTTACCTGGAGAGAGTTCCGGGGGTCAACGCCCCCGCGGCCCGGCCCGCGACCAGGCCTCCTGGCGGATCAGAGCCTGATCAACCAGGCTGTTGCTGCTGGCTGCACGCAAACCAACGTACGAGCCACAGCCCGGCTGATCAGGAACTGATGCAGGGAATTCTTCAACACAACACAACACAAGTGAGCCCCCCCTCACAACACAACCTGGGTAAGCCCCCTCACAACACAGGTGAGCCTCCCCTCACAACACAACCTGGGTAAGGCCCCCCTCACAAACACAGGTGAGCTCCCCATCACAAACAACCTGGGTAAGCCCCCCTCACAACACAGGTGAGCCTCCCCTCACAACACAACCTGGGTAAGCCCCCCTCACAACACAGGTGAGCCTCCCCTCAAACACAAACCTGGTAAGCCCCCTCACAACACAGGTGAGCCTCCCCTCACAACACAACCTGGGTAAGCCCCCCTCACAAACACAGGTGACCTCACCCTCAAACACAACCGGGGGTAAGCCCCCCCTCACAACACAGGTGAGCCTCCCTCACAACACAACCTGGGTAAGCCCCCCTCACAACCACAGGTGAGCCTCCCCTCACAACACAACCTGGGTAAGCCCCCCTCACAACACAGGTGAGCCTCCCCTCACAACACAACCTGGGTAAGAGCCCCCCCTCACAACACAGGTGAGCCTCCCCTCACAACACAACCTGGTAAGCCCCCCTCACAACACAGGTGGAGCCCTCCCTCACAACACAACCTGGGTAAGCCCCCCCTCACAACACAGGTGAGCCTCCCCTCACAACACAACCTGGGTAAGCCCCCCTCCACAAACACAGGTGAGCCTCCCTCACAACACAACCTGGGTAAGCCCCCCCTCACAACACAGGTGAGCCTCCCCTCACAACACAACCTGGGTAAGCCCCCCCCCTCACAACACCAGGTGAGCCTCCCCTCACAACACAACCTGGTAAGCCCCCCTCACAACACAGGTGAGCCTCCCCTCACAACACAACCTGGGTAAGCCCCCCTCACAACACAGGTGAGCCTCCCCTCACAACACAACCTGGGTAAGCCCCCCTCACAACACAGGTGAGCCTCCCCTCACAACACAACCTGGGTAAGCCCCCCCTCACAACACAGGTGAGCCTCCCCTCACAACACAACCTGGGTAAGCCCCCCCTCACAACACAGGTGAGCCTCCCGTTCACAACACAACCTGGGTAAGCCCCCCTCACAACACAGGTGAGCCTCCCCTCCCAACACAAACCTGGGTAAAGCCCCCCCTCACAACACAGGTGAGCCTCCCCTCACAACACAAACCTGGGTAAGCCCCCCTCACAACACAGGTGAGCCTCCCCTCACAACACAACCTGGGTAAGCCCCCCTCACAACACAGGTGAGCCTCCCCTCACAACACAACCTGGGTAAGCCCCCCCTCACAACACAGGTGAGCCTCCCTCACAACACAACCTGGGTAAAGCCCCCCCTCACAACACAGGTGAGCCTTCCCCTCACAACACAACCTGGGTAAGCCCCCCCCTCACAACACAGGTGAGCCTCCCTCACAACACAACCTGGGTAAGCCCCCCTCACAACACAGGTGAGCCTCCCCCTCACAACACAACCTGGGTAAGTCCCCCCCTCACAACACAGGTGAGCCTCCCCTCACAACACAACCTGGGTAAGCCCCCCCTCACAACACAGGTGAGCCTCCCTTCACAACACAACCTGGGTAAGCCCCCCTCACAACACAGGTGAGCCTCCCCTCACAACACAACCTGGGTAAGCCCCCTCACAACACAGGTGAGCCTCCCCTCACAACACAACCTGGGTAAGCCCCCCTCACAACACAGGTGAGCCTCCCCTCACAACACAACCTGGGTAAGCCCCCCTCACAACACAGGTGAGCCTCCCCTCACAACACAACCTGGTAAGCCCCCCCTCACAACACAGGTGAGCCTCCCTTCACAACACAACCTGGGTAAGCCCCCTCACAACACAGGTGAGCCTCCCCTCACAACACAACCTGGTAAGCCCCCCCTCACAACACAGGTGAGCCTCCCCTCACAACACAACCTGGGTAAGCCCCCCCTCACAACACAGGTGAGCCTCCCCTCACAACACAACCTGGGTAAGCCCCCCACTCACAACACAGGTGAGCCTCCCTTCACAACACAACCTGGGTAAGCCCCCCCTCACAACACAGGTGAGCCTCCCTTCACAACACAACACGGTGAGCCTCACCTTACAACACAGGTGAGACTCTTGTCACAGCACGTGAGCCTCCCGTCACAAAACAGGTGAGCCTCACCTCACAACACAGGTGAGCCTCACCTCACAACACAGGTGAGCCTCACCTCACAACACAGGTGAGCCTTCCCTCACATCATAACAGGTAAGCTTTATCACTGAGTGCCTTACCTGCATGGAGGTGGACAAGTTGTTCCAGCTGACAAGTGTCTCGTTCAGTAGTTGATACTCCAGCAACATCCTCTTTCCCGTGAAGGCCACGCCCTCCTGTGCATGTACAACACATCTATAACCCACAACATATATGCAACACATCACACATGTGCAACACACCATCGCTCTTTTACTACGAAATTTTTAATTTTTGTAAATAATGGAAACATAACTGAATCTTCTTTTATTAAGTTCCATTTCGCGTCTTATTTTGGGCATTTATTACCAGGATCAAATATATTTGATTTTATTAACAAAGTTAACCAATTCTCCAAATTTTTATCATACAGATTAACCAATCACAGAACGGGCAAGACTTGAACCCATCGCAGGAGAGTCCTGATATAGGTTTGAATCCCATCCGTTCCGTGATTGGTTCGCAATCGTGTAATAACACGATTTCGTGTCCTATTTTTGAGTTACAGTCTTCAGTTTATATTTTATTAATTATAATGTTACTGCTGATTCTTTTTAAAAGACGTTTAATATTGGACACTGACCTGGACCAGGAGAAGGTTGCCAGCAGACTGGTCAGGGAGGGAGAAGGTGAGAGAACATATCTGAGAGTCGAAGGGATAGACATGCAGCAGGAACAGACACATGGCTGTCACTGTATACTGCTGAACCAACTTCAGAGTGCTGCCGGACCCGCTGTACATGTCATCTGGTGAACCAGGAGTACATGTTAATATACAATTCTGATTACCATCAACACCACAACTTCCAGCACCACCATCCCCACAGTCTGACGTGCTGTACTGTTCGTCTGGTTCCCCAAAACTACAGTTAGTACATCAAAATGGTTACCATCAATACAACAATCACCACCAATATCTCTAAAACCTCCAACACAGCATATCACAAAGGCTATCAGCAACACCACTAGCACCACCTACACCTCCAGCACTACCTGTATTGCCGCACCTGCTGTAGGTGAGGTTTCTAAGTTGGGTTCGGTCCAAAAATGTAAAAAATGCATCATGGTGAATGAAAAAATATATCAGTGTAAAATAATTTTTTGGGAATGTGCAACACCTAAGGGAGTACTGCCTATACGGCAAGTTCTGCTTACTACATGGGGTGGAACGAAGTACATACAGCATCTCTTAATAGAAAACGAAACATGAGGAATTGACTCGCGAAATCGTAATGACACGATTGCAAACAAACCATACCACGGATGGGGATAGAACCCGCGATCAGAGTCTCAAAACTCCAGACCGTCGCGTTAGCCACTAGCTAACGCGACGGTCTGGAGTTTTGAGACTCTCTGACCGCGGGTTCTATCCCGTCCGTGGTATGGTTTGTGAGGAATTGCTTAAAAGCAGCTCTCATCAGTCTACATAAAACCATCAGTAAATCAATGTTGCTTCAGTATAAAGCCTGTAGTAAGTAACCTTTGCACACAAGGCCCCACCTACACCACACCACCTGTGACTTGATAATTAGCTTTTTTGTCTATTTTTCATGTGATGTGACCACTCATACCGTCCACCTCATGGAAATTTAAGGAATATTTTTTTTCTGTAGACTTTATGCTCAAGTCTTGCGCAAAACGCTGTTTAAAATGGTTTCCGCTGCTTACGTGTCTATACCAAAATGTTTCTGACACTTTAGCAGCCCAGGCTAAAACTAAAGTTCTTAGCACTACAACTACTGCCGCCATCAAGGATCTAACCAGATATTGTTGAGAAATAAGCTACACAATCACAGTACTTCTTAGCTTGTCTTGGTAGGTAATCGTGGCTGGGACTCACCTTCAGTGTAGTAGGTATCATCGTCAGGCAGTGATTGAGAGTCACGACGAATCAGCAACTTCACAAGGTGCTGCTTCACATCAGTTGGGTTGTAGTAACCATCACTCACTAAAATCTCTGGCATCCACAGCTTTTCAATCACCTTCAAATATACATTTTTTTCTTTAAAAATTATCCTGAAACTGTATTATTGGTTTAAGAATAAAGAAATGGAAAATTTTAATACTTAATATATTGGAAATTTGTATCACAATAAACATTATTTCTTTTGCTTATTTACAGGTAAATGAGGCTGGATTTTTTGATGTAGATTATTATTATTATAATCAAGGGGGGAAGCGCTAAACCCAGAGGATTATACAGCGCCTGGGGGGGAGATGTGGAAGGCATTCAGGCTTAATTCGGGGAACTGGAGCACAGATCCAATTCCCTAAATCAAGAGCCCCTCACCAACATCAAGGAACCTTCCTTGAGGGGTTTTGATGTAGAGGAAACATTTCTTACATCGCAGAGCGACTAAAACTGTTCTGATTAGGTATTCCCTGTAAATATGGAAAAATTCGTACAACTTTTGACATGTGCTGGTGCGTTTTTTGGTCAGTTTTAGTTTTATATACCCAAAGGTTATTCTGCTTTTCTGTGCAAGAACTACTGGAAAAATGTCTGCTGATAGGCCTTAAATTTTTAACATTGATGTATCTTACTTAGGATTGTTGTATTATTTTCCATGTAATAAACTATTGAAGCTATAATGGTATATGCATTCTTTCTGAAGAAGAATTATTAACAAATTTAAGCCATGTCGGTACAAATTCACTAATTTACCAGCAACATGGTAAGAAAACTAGATTTAATCCGTTTTTTGTGTAATACCTGAAGATTGGCTTCAAAAACTGTTACCACTGGTGTGTTTTGTTCCAAGGAAAACTTATATTTTTCTTGCACTCTGAAAGTTCCAATTTGCAAATTTCATTAAACAAAATGTGATTTTTGCTTTCTGTGCAATCACTGGAGAATCTTTTGATCTCCTTCCAGCGTTTAAATGTGATACATCTGACAAGACTGGTTTCTGTTTCTTTAGTAATAATGTAGTTGTTTTATTGAGAAAACCGAGAAATTTCAATGCTGATGTATCTTTCTTGGAAGAAGAGCATATATATATATATACTATATATATATATATATATATATTTTATATATATATATAATATATATATATATATATATATATATATATATATATTTTTTTTTTTTTTTTTTTCAACAAGTCGGCCGTCTCCCACCGAGGCAGGGTGACCCAAAAAAAAAAAGAAAATCCCCAAAAAAGAAAATACTTTCATCATCATTCAAACACTTTCACCACACTCACAACATTATCACTGTTTTTGCAGAGGTGCTCAAATACAACAGTTTAGAAGCATACACATATAAAGATACACAACATTTTCCTCCAAACTGCCAATACCCAAACCCTCCTTTAAAGTGCAGGCATTGTACTTCCCATTTCCAGGACTCAAGTCCGACTATATGAAAATAACCGGTTTCCTGAATCCCTTCACTAAATATTACCTTGCTCACACTCCAACAGATCGTCAGGTCCCAAGTACCATTCGCTCCATTCATCCCTATCTAACACGCTCACGCACGCTTGCTGGAAGTCCAAGCCCCTCCCCCACAAAACCTCCTTTAAACCCCCTCTCTCCAAACCCCTTTGAGGACGAACCCCTACCCCCCCCTTCCTTCCCCTTTTAGATTTATATGCTTTCCATTCATTCTACTTTGATCCATTCTCTCTAAATGACCAAACCACCTCAACAACCCCTTTCTTCTGCCCTCTGACTAATACTTTTATTAACTCCACACCTTCTCCTAATTTCCACACTCCGAATTTTCTGCAAATATTTACACCAACATTGCCCTTAAACAGGACATCTCCACTGCCCCCAAACCCGGTCCCCCTCGTCTGCTGCATTTACCACCCAAGCTTCACACCCATATAAGAGTTTTTGGTACTACTATACTTTCATAACATTCCCTTCTTTGCCTCCCTAGATAACGTTTTTTGACTCCCACATATACCTCAACGCACCACTTACCTTTTTTCCCTCAAACAATTCTATGATAACCTCATCCTTCATAAATCCATCCGCCGACAACGTCAACTCCCAAGTATCTGAAAACCTTCACTTCTTCCATACTCCTCCTCCCCAATTGATATCCATTTTTCTTATTAAATCATTGACACCCTCATCACCTTACTCTTTTTCCCTATTCACTTTCAACTTTCTACCTTTACACACCCTTCCCAACTCATCCACTAACCTTTGCAATTTTTTTTTAGAATTTTCCCATAAGCACAGTTCATCAGCAAAAAGTAACGTGTCAATTCCCATTTTGAATTTGATTCCCCATAATTTAATCCCACCCCTCTCCCAAACACCCCAGCAATTTACTTCCTTTACATGTAACCCCATCTATAAATAAAATTAAACAACCATGGTGACATTACACATCCCTGTCTAAGACCTACTTTTACCCGGGGAAATAGTCCCTCTCTTTACACACCCTAACCTGAGCCTCACTAAACCTCATAAAAACTCTTTACAGCATTTAATAACTTACCACCTATTCCATATACTTGCAACATCTGCCACATTGCTCCTCTATCCCATCTATCATATGCCTTTCTAAATCCATAAATGCATTAAAAACTTCCCTATCTTTACTAAATACTGTTCACATATATGCTTCAATGTAAACACCTGATCTACACATCCCCTACCCACTCTAAAACCTCCTTGCTCATCCACAATCCTACATTCTGTCTTACCTCTAATTCTTTCAATTATAACCCTACCGTACACTTTTCCTGGTATACTCAGTAAGCTTATTCCTCTATAATTTTTACAGTCTCTTTTGTCCCCTTTCCCTTTATATAAAGGGACTATACATGCTCTCTGCCAATCCCTAGGTACCTTCCCCTCTTTCATACATTTATTAAACAAAAGTACCAACCACTCCAACACTATATCCCCCCCTGCGTTATCTCACAGTCCACAGCAGAATTCGAACCCGCACCCTCTGTATCAAAGTACACAGTACTTTCGCCACTCAGCCAGATCCCAGATAAGTATGGGCACCTAGCCCAAGCTAGACGGTCAAGCCCCATACCCCGGGACACCAAGACAGTGATAAGCTATTTCATCAAATCCTGCCACATGCAGTGAACAACGAAAGAAACTTGAAATGCTTAATTTGCAAGCGGGCGAACTTTTAACAAACATTATCTCTCATTCCACAGCAGGATTCGAACCTACACACTGTATCACAGTACATAGTACTTTTTCCACTCAGATCTTTCGCATTCTTCGTCGCTATGCAATGTTGCAAGACAGAAATAGATAGGATGAGAAATTCTCTGAGGCAAAGCAGAAGGTATCAATGGTGGCCCATGACACAGACTCTCATTGGCCACTACTGATACCTGCTTTGCTTCAGAAAATTTTTCCTTCTTGTTGCCGTCTTGCACCACTGCATAGCTCCTGATGAGGTACGAGAGTGCGAAAGATCTAGAGCTATAGATTTCCATCCCCACGTGGCTAGGTTGCCATTAGCCAGAAGTGTAACACGGTATATAGATAAGTTTAAAATGTAAAAAAACTAAGTTGATACACGTAGAAATAAAATAAGGAGGGGTGATCGATGCATTGAGAAAAGGCAATGGATTACTTACCCTCGCCTTGTTTACAAAATCTCCAGGGCGGAGATTCCGTAGTAAGAGTCTCTCATCTTTCCATTTGATGCTTTGTATTACGTCAATAGCCAAGTTAAATCCTGCCAGATCAAATTTTCTGATTGATGTGATCTGAATGGAGATGTAGAGAGCCATCTGCTCTGAATCTCCTGCAGGCGGAGCAAGTTCTGAGGGATATCCTTCAGGGAAAACGATAGCCTGACAGTTGAGCTCATCTGTGCTGTCCTGACAGTCGACCTTATAGTCACAGCGTTTTGTCTTGTTGATACACGAGCCGTCACTACACGTGAAGTCGTTCTCACCACATGAGGTCAATAACAGCTCTACCTGCACACATAAAGGTCTTGATCACTACATACACACACGTATATAAATATATATATAAATATATATATATCAATAACACTGCACTAGCCAAGGATTCGAACCTGTTGTACTGGCCTGACTCATGGTAAGCGAGAACCGCATAACACTTTAAACCACAGGACCACCCAACCCTTCTGTGGTTTAACGCGTCATGTGGTTCTCGCTTACCATGAGTCAGGCCATACAACATGGGTTCGAATCCTTGGCTAGCGCAGTGTTGTCATTGATCAATACCACTCGTTCGTGGTTACAATAATAATGATAATATAATAATAATATATATATATATATATAATATATTATATATATATATATATATATATAATATATATATATATATATATATATATATATATATATATATATATATATATATATATAATATATATATATATATATATATTAGACACTAAATTAGTTGAACGGAAGCTCTTATGTACAGTAAAGAAGCAACGTAAAAAAAAGTGAGGGACACGTAAACAAAGGAACTAAAATAGGAATATATGCAATAAAACTGTGTTAAGGAGCACTGTCGTGAGCATACTGGACTATTTTCACTGACTTCGTCAACATGCTTATATATCCACTACTCTGTAACTAAATTAATTCTTTCCCATATATTTTTTTATTTATTATAGCCTAGTATCACCATATAGGCCAGGTTGACCTAACTTAGTTACTTTTTGCTGGTTAGTTTCCTTTCTTGATGGTTTGTGTAATTTAATAAAAAAACATATTCAATAGACACTTGGCATTATCGTATACAGTACTGAAACTGGGAACATTGTTAGTTGAAACTAATCCCTTTATCTTCCTCTGCTGCACGTTGCTGTATTCCATCAATACTCTAGCATCAGCGAATTTGTTTATGGTTCTGTGTGTCTATGTGTCAGTATACTGCAATATTTTTGTGCCCAGTGAGAGTAAAGTTGAGAAAGTCAACACCAAAATAATTTATTTCCCCAATTGGGGCTCCTAAGAGATATTAGTTTGCCAATGTTTTATTATTATTATTATTATTGTTATTTGAACTTAATGCCAAGGTATCAACAGTCAAATAGAAATTACCAACCTTGAGATGTGAAAGCAGTGCAAGAGATATTGGTAAAAAATTGTGAATAATTTATAGGAATGTTGATAGCCAAAGGCTATCAACAAAACTGCTTAATTTTTAATTGACAATGTTTGTAATAGAAGAAAATTTGGACACATGAGTAAATATCTTTGTTATTATTGAATTCCATCTGCCAGTCAATATTTTTCACTGATACCTTATGATACGTCCAGGAGCTTGAATGAGATATTATGGGTACCATTAGGAAGGATGGCCAATGATCAGTTCTACTGTTAGCGATTATGACAGTTTTTATAGGCATTTTGTTGGCCCAAATGTGGTAAAGAAAATATGTAGATGTCTCGATAATTCGCGCGAGTTTGTTTATTGTATATAGTGGTAGTCAATTATGCATGCTGTTTAGGAACGCAGTTCTATGGTGTCATCAAAGTGTTTACTTAGGGATCTGGAAAATGAGATATTCTTGTTACTAAAGATTGTGCTTGGCTAGTTGTAGTCTTAAAAAACAAAACAATAAATGACATGCCAACGCACTCTGTCCCAGGCCCAGACTCGTGGAACTTCGTGTTCATCAAGAACTGCAAGAAGCCCGTGTCACGTGCCTTAATTTAAGCATTCTATGGAGAGAAAGCATGGACACAGGGATCATCCCACAGTCACTAAAACATAGCCACACTCCACAGAGGTGGCAGTAAAGCGATTGCAAAGCAGTAAAGCAAAATGAGTGATAAAGAAATTACAAGATAAATGCGTAGATGGATCTATAAATTCCTAACAAATATAACACAAAAAGTAACAGTAAACAGAGTAATGTCAGAAGCGGCTACAGTGAAAAGCTCTGTCCCGCAAGGTACAGTACTCGCTCCCATCCTGTTCCTCATTCTTATATCCGATATACATGTCTCCTTTGCGGATGACACCCGAATTTGCATGACAGTGTCACCCGTCGAAGACACTGCAAGTCTCTAAGCGGACATCAAACAAATCTTTAAATGGGCCGCAGAAAACAATATGAAGTTCAATGAAGACAAATTTCAATTACTCCGCTATGGAACACTCGAGGAAATGAAAATTGCATCGGAGTATAAAATAAACTCCAACCACACAATAGAGCTAAAAACTAATGTGAAGGACCTGGGAATGATAATGTCAGAGGATTTCAGTTTCAAAGATCACAACAATGTATTTACCACAACTTTTAGGAAAATGATATAATAGGTAACGAGAACCTTCAAAAAAAGGGATGCCAAGCCCATTATGATTCTCTTCAAATCGCTTGTTTTCTCTAGGCTGAAATATTGCTGTATACTAATGGCCCCCTTTCAATACAGGCGAAATTGGAAACCTGGAGAATATACTGAGAACTTTCACGGCACGTATAAGTACGATAAAGCACCTAAATTGGGAATGGTTGAAGTCCCTTGATTTGTACTTCCTGGAATGCATGTGAGAAAGATACATGATAATGTACACTGGGAAATCCTAGAGGGACTAATCCAAAATCTGTACACGATCACTCTCTACGAAAGGAAAAGACTTGGCAGGAGATGCAACATCCCCAGTGAAAAGCAAGGACGCCACGAGTACGCTAAGACACGACACAGTAAGCGTCAGGGGCCCAAGACTGTTCAACTGCCTCCCAGCATACATAACGTGAATTACCAAAAGACTCCTGGCTGTCTTCAAGAAGGCACTGGACAGGCACCTAAAGTCAGTACCTGACCAGCCGGGCTGTGGCTCGTACGTCGGTTTACGTACGGCCAGCAGTAATAGCCTGATTGATCAGGCCCTGATCCACCACAAGGCCTGGCCATGGACCGGGCAGCGGGGGCATTGACCCCCGAAACCCCTCCAGGTATTGGTTAGCTTTAAGCTACAACACATGCTTGTGCTACAACACGTGCTGGTGCTATATGTGCTTGCACTACAATACTTGCCGGTACTACAACACTTGCTGGCGCTACAACATGCTGCAACATGCAGTAATGTATGTTGGTACTGCAACACCCTTTGCTGCGACAAAATATGCTGATGCTGCAACAGAGCTACTTGACGTTCTGGCGTCGCGTCACGTGCTGAGTCTTAAACATGTATGTTGCTACCTTATATTCCGGTGCCACAACATGTGATGGTGCTAAACATACCTGTTTTTTAGTGCAGGTGTCGTTGCGCACCTGCCATGTGTTAACGCCGAATGGGTAATCCTCTGGTTTCTTCATTTCCATGATGGCTTCCACTCCCTTCTCCAGGCGACTCCTGATCACCCAACTATCATTCTCCCAAATTATTCTACTTAGGAAGAAGCCTTCAAATACTGGTTTCCTGTTATAGTAGTTGTGTGGGGAATAGAAACGGTCAAATTTCGATAACTTGCAAAGACCACGTAAATGTAGTCTTGGAATAACCGTGACATTACATATTGGACACTGTCGTAAGTCACAAGGCGATGCGCCCCATATGTACTTGTAGTGAAAGGTAGCAGCAGCAACACACCTGTGCTCGTTTACAGGTTTTGACCAGGCTAAGTGAAACTTGTGCCAAGTTAGAGGCTTTCCGTCTGATAACTTTGTCCACCATCCACTTGTAAGGTTCGCTGTGAGGCCGAACCAAAATGATGTTCCCCAACTATCTGCACAGTGGAAGTTAAAATCTTCAAATTTATCATAGATTGCCTCATTCTCTTCATTATTTGTGGGCACAACTATCCCTCCAGTGAAATAGCTACACATGGCTTTTGCTCGGTCAAAGTCAACTCTCTCGGGAACAATCATGGCAACATCTGTAGATGGTGTACAAACATCGAATAAGTTCATGTTATAGACCAAAATATCACCACTTAAATGAAAGTTAGACATGTTCACATCAAAACTGTAAAGAGGCGATGGCAAGTCGACATAGGATTCGCAGGCCACAAATTCTTGGAGGTGTTTAAGAGACAGAGCAACATTGTACAACCTGAAGTCTGCCAGATCTCCATGTAAAGATTCACTGACCACATAAAAAGCTGCTGGGTTGTAGTTCTGTCCCACCAAGAAGCGGCCACCTCCTCTCACTTTGTTCAGCTCTGCTGGTGTGATTCCTGGACGACGTATCAACGCTTCATGTATCTGTCAAATAATAGACAAGACAGAAATGTTGCAATATCTTTTAGCGCATCTACTTCGGCTGGGATTACATCCAGCCACGGTATTATGACTTTTTATTCTTCATGACATCCTGTAATTGGGTATCCCTGAGGGTACCCCTTCAGGGACACCCAAGTTGAGTTGTCATTTAGATCATAACTTGAGAAGGCCAGATTCGATCAGCTTTTCAATACCGTTTATGGTAACGGGAACAAAGTTCATGCAGCTATTAGCATTTATGGAAACTTATCCCTTTAAAATATGCACCTTCAAGTCTGCATAAATACCTCAGTGAAAATAAAGACTGAAACTGCTTGAGTGTTACCTGGAGTATACCTGGAGGTGTGTTCCGGGTAAACTCCCCCTTGGCCCGGTCCATGACCAGAGGTGCTAGAGAGAAGAATCAAGAGTAAAAAAAATCATGAATTAACATACAAACTCCTGAATAATGTGTCCAAATCTTACTTGGCAAGAAGGACCTGACTGGGGCCAGAAAACATCCTTCTCAAGGAAAACTGAGAACAGTCTAGTAGTCTACCGCGGTATTGCTTTTTTATAAGTTCCAGTTTAGCTTAGAGACGATATTTCTTAAAAAATCAAGTAATGAATAGTAGGATTTGGTAAATTGTATATAGGTTTCCCTATATTACTACACCACTCACTACGTTATCGAAGACGATGTGCTGGGAGTCACCGGTCATGTTAGCTGACACACATAGATGGTGCCAGGTGAAGAGCCGGATAGGGACCTTCAACTCCATGAAGCCAGAGTACCCGCAACACTCCAGTCGTAGTGATGACTGTGGCCACTCTATACCTGCAACAGTCGTAGTGATAACTGTGGCCACTCTATACCTGCAACAGTCGTAGTGATAACTGTGGCCACTCTATACCTGCAACAGTCGTAGTGATAACTGTGGCCACTCTATACCTGCAACATAGATTTAGGGATTACGGTGACCGATCAACACACACGCAGTGCAACACACGTACTAGATGGTCTAGATATCGAGAGTAGGCCCACTACTAGTGGGTCATGGACCACAGGCTGAGAACCACTGACTGGCCAAAAATAAATTATTTTCCAGTGCAGGTGTTAATATGATGAACTGAAACCCTCTCCAGGTAAATTCCAGGTAAACCCAGGTTTTCAAATGGCTTAAATAGCATATAAATAATCATAAGGTTTCTTATACACAAATAACCCGCACATAAAAGAGAGAAGCTTACGACGACGTTTCGGTCCGACTTGTATCGTTCCAGTCACGGTATTGTGCCTTTTTGTTATTTATAAGGTTTCTTCCTGTTAAATATGATTTCTCGCCTAAGTGGTGGCTAAATGAGAATGTTTCAATACATTTTATAAGTCATTCAACTGAAATTTCCACAATCTGAGAGAGAAAGGTTTAATGTTGGCTCACCGAGCAGGATCTCCTGGTAGAATGTTCCCGTTGTATAGCTGAGCAGTGTGTTGAGGCGAGCCAGGTGAAGCAACCTCAACCTCACACACAACGTCCACTGTGTAGACATAGTATGGATCAGGAGACATAATGCGTCTCGGACAGAGCTCGCTACACAGTATGTACAAGATATACACAGGAGATGCAATAAATTCACAGGAAATACGGGATATAATATTCAAGACAACCACTGTGAACAAATACTGATCTAAAAGCTTTCGTGATTTTTCACATGATGTGAAAAATCACGAAAATTCTTGGAAGTTTCCATTTTTTCAAGTGGAAATATAATGTTTCTGAGATATACATAGCTGGAGATGTGTGTCTGAGACAGCCGGAGATACAATGTCAAATATACACAAACACTGATCAGTGTTTGTGTATATTTCGCCTGCTCTTGCGAATTCCTTGCATATATATATATATATATATATATATATATATATATATATATATATATATATATATATATATATATATATATATATATATATATATATATATATATATATATATATATATATATATTTTTTCAACAAGTCGGCCGTCTCCCACCGAGGCAGGGTGACCCAAAGAAGAAAGAAAATCCCAAAAAAGAAAATACTTTCATCATTCAACACTTTCACCACACTCGCACATTATCACTGTTTTTGCAGAGGTGCTCAGAATACAACAGTCTAGAAGCATACACATATAAAGATACACAACATATCCCTCCAAACTGCCAATATCCCAAACCCCTCCTTTAAAGTGCAGGCATTGTACTTCCCATTTCCAGGACTCAAGTCCGAATATATGAAAATAACCGGTTTCCCTGAATCCCTTCACTAAATATTACCCTGCTCACACTCCAACAGATCGTCAGGTCCCAAGTACCATTCGTCTCCATTCACTCCTATCTAACACGCTCACGCACGCTTGCTGGAAGTCCAAGCCCCTTACCCACAAAACCTCCTTTACCCCCTCTCTCCAACCCTTTCGAGGACGACCCCTACCCCGCCTTCCTTCCCTATAGATTTATATGCTTTCCATGTCATTCTACTTTGATCCATTCTCTCTAAATGACCAAACCACCTCAACAACCCCTCTTCTGCCCTCTGACTAATACTTTTATTAACTCCACACCTTCTCCTAATTTCCACACTCCGAATTTTCTGCATAATATTTACACCACACATTGCCCTTAAACAGGACATCTCCACTGCCTCCAACCGTCTCCTCGCTGCTGCATTTACCACCCAAGCTTCACACCCATATAAGAGTGTTGGTACTACTATACTTTCATACATTCCCTTCTTTGCCTCCATAGATAACGTTTTTTGACTCCACATGTACCTCAACGCACCACTCACCTTTTTTCCCTCATCAATTCTATGATTAACCTCATCCTTCATAAATCCATCCGCCGACACGTCAACTCCCAAGTATCTGAAAACATTCACTTCTTCCATACTCCTCCTCCCCAATTTGATATCCAATTTTTCTTTATCTAAATCATTTGACACCCTCATCACCTTACTCTTTTCTATGTTCACTTTCAACTTTCTACCTTTACACACACATTCCCAAACTCATCCACTAACCTTTGCAATTTTTCTTTAGAATCTCCCATAAGCACAGTATCATCAGCAAAAAGTAACTGTGTCAATTCCCATTTTGAATTTGATTCCCCATATAATAATATATATATATATAATATATATATATATATATATATATATATATATATATATATAGGGGTGTTTAATGTTGCAGTTTAAAAACTGTAGTGTAAAGCACCCTTCTGGCAAGACAGTGATGGAGTGAATGATGGTGAAAGTTTTTTCTTTTTCGGGCCACCCTGCCTTGGTGGGAATCGGCCGGTGTGATAATAAATAAAAAAAAAAATAAATATATATATATATATATATATATATATATATATATATATTATATATATATGTCGTGCCGAATATGTAAAACTGGTCAATTAGCAAGAACTCATTTAAAATTAAGTCCCTTTCTAAAATTTTCTCTTATATGTTTAAAGATATATTTTTTTTCATTAATGTTAATGTAAAAATTTTTAATTTTGCTCCAAAAGAATCTTAGAAAACTTACCTAACCTTATTATAACAAGAACAATTTATTTTAGCCTAACCCAACTAAATATATTTTAGATTTGTTTACAATAATTTAACACTAAACAAACACAGTGAAATATATTTGTTTCGTTAGGTTCAGAATGATTTTGGCGAAATTATTGCATACACAAATTTTCGCTTGTCCTATATGGCAAGATGAGCGTTGCTATTTAAGCCAAGATGGCAAGTTCTGCCTATTCTGCACGACACACACACACACATATATATATATATGTCGTGCCGAATAGGCAGAACTTGCCATCTTGGCTTAAATAGCAACGCTCATCTTGCCATATAGGACAAGTGAAAATTTGTATATGCAATAATTTCGCCAAAATCATTCTGAACCTAACGAAAAAAATATATTTGATTGTGTTTGGTTAGTACTAAATTATTTTAAACGTATTTAAAATATATTTAGTTGGGTTAGGCTAAAATAAATTGTTCTTGTTATAATAAGGTTAGGTAAGTTTTCTAAGATTCTTTTGGTGAAAAATTAAAATTTTTTACATTAACATTAATGAAAAATATATATCTTTAAACGTATAAGAGAAAATTTCAGAAAGGACTTAATTTTAAATGAGTTCTTGCTAATTGACCAGTTTTACATATTCGGCACGACATATATATATATATATATATATATATATATATATATATATATATATATATATATATATATATATATATATATATATATATATATTATATTGGTGCATACAGAATCAGATGCTTGCATAGCACTATCTATTCAAAGGTAGATTAATGCACAGTAAGATGCATGCAGAGACAGTTCACTGCAGAGCCAGATGCAGAGAGAACCATATATATGCATAGTGTGATGAGTGCCGAGCCAGAGCCGTACCAACCCACTTCCACGCAGAGCCACATGCATACAGATCCGAAGCCATTCAGAGCTAGGTCCATGCAGCTGTAAGCCTCTGCCTTGCTAGTCATACTAAGCTTCTGCCTCAGGTCAACGTCTCTCGGCCTCACTGTTGCACCTCAGTAGTGATTTTCCAGGACGCTGCCTGGCAGCAGCACCTAGGCTTCTGCGTTCCTCCAGGGCCCCCGCTTTTTTTTTTTTTTTGGCACAACGCTACATTAAGGCTGTGAAAATTTGTCAGTGAATCATGGTACTTTTAGAACATTTACATCGACCTCATCAAATTGAATTAAAAAAAGTGTATATTAGTTATTAGATGGGGAGGTGGAGGTACTGTGAAGATGGAGGGAATATTCTGAGGAACTGTCAAATGTTGATGAAGAGAGGAAGGCAGTGATTTAATGCACTGGGCAGGGGGCGGGGGGGTATAACATCTTGTAGGAGTGAGAAGAGCCAAATGTGAGTGTGGGGGGAGGTGTGTGAGGCTGTGGATAGAAAGAAAAGGGGTAAAGCAGCTGGGATTAATGGGATCAAGACAGAAATATTAAAAGCAAGTAGAGATATAGTTTTGGAGTGGTTGGTGGTTTTATTCAATAAATGTTTGAAAGAGAAGATAACTAGGGACTGGCAGAGAGCATACATAATTCCTTTGTATAAAGGCAAAGGGAAAAAAAGAGAAGGTGAGAATAATAGGGAAATAAGCCTGTTGAGTATGCCTGGTAATGCTATTATTAAAAGAATTAGAAGTAAGACATAGAGCAGGATCGCAGATGAACAAAGAAATTTTAGGAAGGGTAGGGGTGTGTAGACCAAGTGTTTGAAGCATATAAGCGAATAACGTTTAGATAAGGGTAAATAAGTTTTTGCTGCATTTATGGATTTAGGCAAAATATATGATAGGGTGGATAGGGAAGCAATGTGACAGCTACTGCATGTGTACAGAATTGATGGTTAGATACTTAAATAGTAGTTAAGAGTTTTTATTTCTCTTGCAACCATATCTTTAGAGATATGGTTGTAAAAGAAATTAATGCAGGGGTGTTAGGGGAAGGCGTAGGATTAAAAGATAAAAAATTAAATACAACGTGGGAGTTGTCACAGTTGCCTTTTGCTGATGGTATTGTGTTTTTGGGGTATTTTAAAGAGAAGTTGCAAAGGTTGGTAAACAAATTTAGGAGGGAAGGACATTAAAAATGACCATATGAAAGAGCAAGGTGATGAGACTAATTAAAAATTTAAGTAACGAAAGAATGGAAATCAGATTGGAAGAGGAAGTATGGAGGAAGTGAATGTAGGCTTGTCGGCAAATGAGTTTATGGAAGATGAAGTGGATCACAGAACTGACAAGGAAAAAGAGTGGGTGGTGCATTGAAGCATTTATTAAGACCTTATCCATAGAGGCAAAGAGGTAATTATCTGAAGTTGCTTACAATAATTTGTCAAAGAAGGAGAAATCTTACCTTCTTTCGTTCCTGGTGTAGCAGGTGGTGCTGAAGCGTGCATTGAAACATTTGAGACTACTTGGGATGCTGTAGGAGGAGGAGGTTGCCATGGACATGGGAACAGGTGCCAACTTATCCCATTCAAGGAATGCTGCGAAAGGTCTTCCCCCCATCCTTACACCGTATCTTTGAAACTTTGGAGCTTAAACGGGCTTCTTATAGAAATTCGTAGCATGACTGCCATCTTTAAAGATAAATTTACTTATGGGTGAAGGTCCCTTGCAGTTTATATCGATAAAGCAGCGCTGTATAGCCCTTGTGGCTTAGCGCTTCTTTTTGATTATAATAATAATAATATATCGATAAACCCCTTGGCGAACCTTTCCAAGCGATATTCTCTCTCTTTAAAAACATATTTATACTACTGTTCGAAATAACGCTGGATATCTATTTAAAATTGGAGGGTGGTATTTCTCAAAATTACATAAAAAGAAGGTAGGTGGATAAAAAATCATGAATAGATACTTTAAGTGAGGTAAAAGTATGGGGAAAACCTTACGTTAGATACAAAAATTAGGGAAAAATTCTTAAATATAATTAAAAAAAAATACTTGGATGAAAAGACTAGTTGATGATGTCCCAAACAAATTTATTCGAGGATGACTTTATACAATAACTAGGTAGTTAAGGTAATGTGTGATGACGTAATGTGTAATAAGGAATGATAATGTAAAATAAGGTAAGTTTAGGCTAGTTAAATTTATCAGAAAAGATTTTATAAATGTAATAATATTCTTGATGTGTTTATTTGTTATAGAGAACGTTTTGGTATTATTACAGGCTCTTCTGGTATTAGTAGAGGGTATTTTGGAATTAGCAGAGAACGCTTTTGAAATAAGTAGAAGGCAGATGAATTTACAAAGATTTTCTTAATGGTTATGTGGTGAATTTTGTAAGGTTATCTTACAATTTAGGAGAGTGATTCTATGAAGGTTTTTGTTTATTGAAACAACTGATCCTGAAGAAATATGTCAAAGTGGGTATTTATAGGGAAATGTTAGAATTTGGAGATACTGTAATGTAACATTGTAGGCTAATGAGGCCGATTCAGATGTACCCAAGTCCTAGAAAAGGGATTCTCAACTTTTCCTCCATCATTAACCCCCTCGGCTTGATGTATTTCTCCCTTTACTCCCTTAAAATTTAATTGAATTATTATTCTATCAGGTACATCAAATATTTACCCCTTGCCATGTAATTTTTTACCCCCCAAGGGGTAAATTTACCCCTGTTTGAGAATCACTGTCCTAGAAAATAGTAGCTGGTAGTTATGAAGGATCAGAAAAGTATTCATTTGTTTTCTAGGGTAGTCATACCCTACTTACAGTTAAAGATACTAAAAAGGTTAAACACTGAGAAACAAGAGCGCCACTTGGAATTTTAATTTGATTAATGCGGCACAGACAGATAGATGTTTTTATTCCCATGAGGAGAATCCCCTAGATCCCTAAAGGTTTATTAACTATCTCGAGTATTATTCTTCTGATCAAGGACATTACTCAGTATTTAATTCTATCAAACGCCAAACGATATCACGCAGCGAAGAAGACACCCCCAGATCACGAGAGGGTTAGTGGCAGAAGATTAAATTTTATTCAAATAGGCATGCTGCATTCTTTTAGCCACTTTTTTGTTAGCCTATTCTGCTTGTTGAATATTCTGGGCTATGTATTTGGTTTCTTATATGCATGTAGGAATGGTAATAATTTTGAGAATGCTTCTTTTTCATATAATCTACATTTTTCAAAAGTGACTTCCTCTTCTTCTCATGCAGGTAAGCCTGGCTTTCTTCAGCATTATTTATTTTTTCTTATAATCTGCAATAATCTTTTCATTTTTACTGAACATAAGAAAATTAGTTTCATTTTACGAGAGAGGTTGAGCCGAGAGAAGCAGAACGAGAGGAAGAAGTTTCTGGGGCAGGACAAGCATCAACTCTCACATGAACTCGAGGAAGTATATTATCTTGGGTAGGAGAGGCAGTAACTCACGTGCAATGGAAACAGTGTTGTTACCTGGAGCAGGTCAGAAAACAACTCTCACATACACTGTAGCAAATGTATTACCTGGAGCAGGTCAGAAAACAACTCTCACATACACTGTAGCAAGTGTTGTATTACCTGGAGCAGGTCAGAAAACAACTCTCACATACACTGTAGCAAGTGTTGTATTACCTGGACCAGGTCAGAAAACAACTCTCACATACACTGTAGCAAGTGTTGTATTACCTGGAGCAGGTCAGAAAACAACTCTCACATACACTGTAGCAAGTGTTGTATTACTTGGAGCAGGTCAGAAAACAACTCTCACATACACTGTAGCAAGTGTTGTATTACCTGGAGCAGGTCAGAAACAACTCTCACAATACACTGTAGCAAGTGTTTGTATTACCTGGACCAGGTCAGAAAACAACTCTCACATACACTGTAGCAAGTGTTGTATTACCTGGAGCAGGTCAGAAAACAACTCTCACATACACTGTAGCAAGTGTTGTATTACCTGGAGCAGGTCAGAAAACAACTCTCACATACAACTGTAGCAAGTGTTGTATTACCTGGAGCAGGTCAGAAACAACTCTCACATACACTGTAGCAAGTGTTGTATTACCTGGACCAGGTCAGAAAACAACTCTCACATACACTGTAGCAAGTGTTGTATTACCTGGAGCAGGTCAGAAAACAACTCTCACATACACTGTAGCAAGTGTTGTATTACTTGGAGCAGGTCAGAAAACAACTCTCACATACACTGTAGCAAGTGTTGTATTACCTGGAGCAGGTCAGAAACAACTCTCACATACACTGTAGCAAGTGTTGTATTACCTGGACCAGGTCAGAAAACAACTCTCACATACACTGTAGCAAGTGTTGTATTACCTGGAGCAGGTCAGAAAACAACTCTCACATACACTGTAGCAAGTGTTGTATTACCTGGAGCAGGTCAGAAAACAACTCTCACATACACTGTAGCAAAGTGTTGTATTACCTGGAGCAGGTCAGAAAACAACTCTCACATACACTGTAGCAAGTGTTGTATTACCTGGACCAGGTCAGAAAACAACTCTCACATACACTGTAGCAAGTGTTGTATTACCTGGAGCAGGTCAGAAAACAACTCTCACATACACTGTAGCAAGTGTTGTATTACTTGGAGCAGGTCAGAAAACAACTCTCACATACACTGTAGCAAGTGTTGTATTACCTGAGCAGGTCAGAAACAACTCTCACATACACTGTACAAGTGTTGTATTACCTGGACCAGGTCAGAAAACAACTCTCACATACACTGTAGCAAGTGTTGTATTACCTGGAGCAGGTCAGAAAACAACTCTCACATACAACTGTAGCAAGTGTTGTATTACCTGGAGCAGGTCAGAAAACAACTCTCACATACACTGTAGCAAGTGTTGTATTACCTGGAGCAGGTCAGAAACAACTCTCACATACACTGTAGCAAGTGTTGTATTACCTGGACCAGGTCAGAAAACAACTCTCACATACACTGTAGCAAGTGTTGTATTACCTGGAGCAGGTCAGAAAACAACTCTCACATACACTGTAGCAAGTGTTGTATTACTTGGAGCAGGTCAGAAAACAACTCTCACATACACTGTAGCAAGTGTTGTATTACCTGGAGCAGTCAGAAACAACTCTCACATACACTGTAGCAAGTGTTGTATTAACCTGGACCAGGTCAGAAAACAACTCTCACATACACTGTAGCAAGTGTTGTATTACCTGGAGCAGGTCAGAAAACAACTCTCACATACACTGTAGCAAGTGTTGTATTACCTGGAGCAGGTCAGAAAACAACTCTCACATACACTGTAGCAAGTGTTGTATTACCTGGAGCAGGTCAGAAAACAACTCTCACATACACTGTAGCAAGTGTTGTATTACCTGGACCAGGTCAGAAAACAACTCTCACATACACTGTAGCAAGTGTTGTATTACCTGGAGCAGGTCAGAAAACAACTCTCACATACACTGTAGCAAGTGTTGTATTACTTGGAGCAGGTCAGAAAACAACTCTCACATACACTGTAGCAAGTGTTGTATTACCTGGACCAGGTCAGAAAACAACTCTCACATACACTGTAGCAAGTGTTGTATTACCTGGAGCAGGTCAGAAAACAACTCTCACATACACTGTAGCAAGTGTTGTATTACTTGGAGCAGGTCAGAAAACAACTCTCACATACACTGTAGCAAGTGTTGTATTACCTGGAGCAGGTCAGAAACAACTCTCACATACACTGTAGCAAGTGTTGTATTACCTGGAGCAGGTCAGAAAACAACTCTCACATACACTGTAGCAAATGTTGTAATACCTGGGGCAGGTCAGGCAGTGCATTCTCACCACTGTCCAGGTAGGTGGTGTTGGAAGCTGTTTCCATTGTCTGTAGCCTCACCACCGTCACCTGCGCCAGCCCCCTGCATCCTGACAAAAAATTCAACGCGATTAATCAAGCGTTATCATCATCATGAGAAGTATTTTAATCAGGCAGTTTCTTGACCTTACCAGGGAAGCAGTCATCTAACACAGACTGTAAGTCTGTGTTAGATGACGTTTGTAACATGACGGCATAGTTGGACTAAGGCATTGACGAAATTTGCCTAGCGCAACGGGAGGCTGGTTAAATATCTAGGGTTCGATCCCCGGCTAGTCGCAGTATGCATATAAAAATTTACAATTGCAAAAGAAAATCTCAAAATTCTTCTCAAAACACTTACAATTCTTGCAAAACACTTACCTTCCCAGGTGGTTACTGCACACAGGACCAAGGTACGAATCAACATTCCTACAGTCTTTAGTCTCATTGTACAATGTTATACAAGATTGTTCCCTGAAAAAAATAAAAATAGCATAAGAGGCTGAACGCGAACATAAACACTTATGATAGGTTAAATTTATATAACGCATATGTCAGCTTAAGCCCGGTTAAAAGAAGTTAAGGATGAATGTCTCTTGTGAATGCCTCAGTTATTCACAATAAACGAAGTATTTTGCAGTTGTGTTAAAGATGGTTATAAATTTTAAGCAAAGCGAAAGTTGAATAACTTGAAAAAAGTATTTAATGGATCTATGTTAATAATAACAGATCAGAAGTCATATATTTTTTCAGAAAAGAATAATTTTTAATATATAGACGTAAAAATCATAAATGAACAGTATTCATACAAATACAAAAGAAAATACGGTTTGTTAACTAGTACGTATATAATTTCCTTGCAAGGGTGTGTCTTGAAGCTCTCTAGGGGCTTCTGATACTAGGAATTAGAGCTACCCTTCTCTTCTGATTCAACCCCCCCAAGGGAGGGTCCTTGACGGTGGTGAGGGGCTCTTGATCTAGGGAATTGGATCTGTGCTCCAGTTCCCTGAATTAAGCCTGAATACCTTCCATCCCCCCACACACACACACAGGCGCTGTATAACCCCTACGGGTTTAGCGCTCCCCATGATTATTATAATAATTCTGATGCAGCATGAATACTTTCCCTTCCTAGGCTCTCTGTGACCCTTACAAGTTATCCATAATAATAATAATAATAATAAGAGGAAGAAGAGGAAGATCAAAATGATGGTAATAATAATATAAAATAATAATAATAAATACCATATTAAAACATAGGTGTTGAGGCTAGCAAAGCTGTGTTATCCTGGGGCTGCAACAATCGTTGTAGATAGAGCTTCGTAGAGCGTGGGTAGTGAAAAACTCCACCCAGGGCCTGGTGATCCTCGCCTCTCCAACACACCACTGAGGTGCTGGGCCTGGTGATCCTCGCCTCTCCAACACACCACTGAGGTGCTGAAGTTCTTACACCCTGTACCTCAGCACTGACTTAGCTGCCATCTTTACCTAGCGCCTTAACGCTCAGTATTAATCATAGTCAAAAGTTTCTCGACTAGGAAATCGTAAATTCTGGAAGGAAAAAAACCGATCAGTTGCCTCTTGTCATAATAATTCATTTTACATATGTTGATTTCCAGTGAGCTGAGAAAGCAATAGAAGTCCATTGTTCACTACATTCTTGACCTCAAAAAAAAATATTAAAATGCTCAAGTATATAGAACTGTCAAAATTAAATTATTTTATATTATAATCCATTAACAATATTAACGTGATGGTTATAACTCTTTGGTCAAATGTTAAATATCTTGAATTATACATCATGTCAACTTATTTTCCGTCACAACAATAGCCTGTAACTGTTATTGTCTTCTACAACACTGGTTCTCAACAGTTATTATCTTTGTTAGGTTGATACCAGCAAAATTCTGGCTAATGTGTAGATATCAGCAGAGTTTTAGCTAATGTGAAGATACCAGCAGAGTTCTGGCTAATGTGTAGATATCAGCAGAGTTTTAGCTAATGTGAAGATACCAGCAGAGTTCTGGCTAATGTGTAGATATCAGCAGAGTTTTAGCTAATGTGAAGATACCAGCAGAGTTCTACCTAATGTTGACTATACAGTTGACTGTGGGAGTTCGCTAGGTTCACAACCACGAGGACTCAGGTCGATACCTAAGTTAGGAGACACGTACAAAACAATTCTCCTAACACACTGCTGTTACCCTGTCATTTAACAGTTAAAAGGTAATACCCAGGAGCTGGAGAGGTGTTGTGGGTCTCATCACCTAAAAATAGTTGCAAAGTATATAAGGCACACTGGTTGACGTTCTTGGCTAGAAATATTAAGTGTTGGAGGAATTTGTCAGAACTACATGCCTGCCTCGACTTAAAAATATTTATATTGTGTTATGAGAAAGTATACTGCTTCTAAATGTAGCAGCACAATGAGTATTCTCTCACACAGCTGGGCAACTGGAAAACAAGGCAGCAGCATCCTGGATACCAAAAGCCCTTCATCTGTAAGAGAAAAAATCTTTACCTCCAGAAGCCATTCCACACGCATTCAAGTAACTCACATCACCTAAAAAATAATTACAAAGGATATTAAGCCACATTGTTTGACGTTCTTGGATTATCCTCCATGGTTACTATTGCGAATAAAGCCTGCTGTTTCTTCGAAACCTTATCAATAGAGCACATAAATTTTTATACTCTGACCGCACTGAAAAAAAAAATACATAAGCATGAGTGCTTTTCTGATGAATTTATGACACTCGAGGAACACCGTGACGACACCTTCAGGTTTGCACGTCATACTGAGGTACACAACTTGAGAGAGGAATGGCCAAACTTTGGCCAGAAATATAAAGTGTTGGAGGAATTTGTCAGAACTACATGCCTGCCTTGACTTAAAAATATTTATATTGTGTAATATGAAGTTCAGCGAGGAGAAATTTCAACTAATCAGATATGGGAAACTTGAAGAAATTAAAAATGTGTCAGGAGATACGACAAATTCTAACCATACAATAGAGCGGAAAAGTAATGTGAAGGACCTGGGAGTGATAATGTCAGAGGATCTCGCCTTCAAAGACCACAACAATGTATCTACCTCATCTGCTAGGAAAATGATAGGATGGATAGTGAGAACCTTCAAAACTAGGGACGCCAAGCCCATGATGATTCTCTTCAAATCGCTTGTGCTCTCTAGGCTGGAATACTGCTGTACACTAGCGGCCCCCTTCAAGGCTGGCGACATTGCAAACCTAGAGAGTGTACAAATAACTTTCATGGCACACATAAGTATGATAAGGCACCTAAACTGCTGGGAACGGTTGAAGGTCCTTGATCTGTATTCCTTCGAACGCAGGCGAGAGAGATACATGATAATATACACTTGGAAGGTCCTGGAGGAATTGGCATCAAACCTGCACACGAAAATCACTCCCTATGAAAGCAAAAGACTCGGCAGGAGATGCAACATTCCCCCGATGAAAGGCAGGGGTGCCACGAGTACATTGAGAGACAACACAATGTCTGGGGCCCAACACTGTTCAGTTGCCTCCCAGCATACATAAGGGGGATTACCAATATACCCCTGGCTGTCTTCAAGAAAGCACTGGACAAACACCTAAAGTCAATACCGGACCAACCGGGCTGTGGTTCGTACGTCAGCTTGCGTGCGGCCAGCAGTAACAGCCTGGTTGATCAGATCCTGATCCACCATGAGGCCTGGTCTCAGAACGGGCCACGGGGGCGTTGACCCCCGAAACCCTCTCCAGGTAAACTCCAGGTTATGTTGAAGTATACTACTTTTAAATGTAGCAGCACAATGAGTATTCTCTCACACAGCTGGGCAACTGGAAAACAAGGCAGCAGCATCCTGGATACCACGAGCCCTTCAGCTGCATATAACTTGTAAGGGGAAAAAATCTTTACCTCCAGAAGCCATTCCACACGCATTCGAGTAACTCACTCAAGGTATTACAAACATGCCAGTGAGTCCAATACTTGTGCCATCTTGTTACTGATGTTACCGAGTTCACTGCTGGCAACACTGGTAAAGTGATGTCAGTAAGATGCTTCTTGCAGAAGGAAGCAGATAAATGAGACAATTGTACATTGCAGAGTCACTAGTTTGCACAGAACTGCTTAATGCCTCAAATGATGTAGTGGAAGTTTTAGCAGTAAAGGTCGAGAACCAAAACCTCGTCATTGTGGTAGTCTACAAGCCTCCGGATGCAACATCCCAGCAATTCCAGGAACAGATGTTAAAAATTGACCACTGTCTGGAAAATCTTCCAGCTCCTGCACCCAACATCTTGCTCCTGGGGGATTTCAACTTAAGGCACCTAAAATGGAGGAATATAGCAAATAATATTGTTGCAGTAATAACACCAGGAGGTAGCTCTGATGAAAACTCACACTCACACGAGCTTTTAAATCTCTGCACAAAATTCAATTTAAACCAGCAAATAATAGAGCCTACTAGACTGGAGAATACACTAGACCTCATCTTCACTAACAATGATGATCTGATAAGAAATGTCACCATATCAAAAACAATATACTCAGATCACAACATAATTGAGGTTCAGACATGTATGCGTGGAGCCCCAGACCGACATAATGAGATTAGTCACGAGGGAGCATTCACCAAATTCAATTTCGATAACAAAAACATAAAGTGGGACCAAGTAAACCAAGTCCTAACCGATATAAGCTGGGAAGATATACTAAGCAACACAGACCCCAACTTATGCCTAGAACAGATTAACTTGGTGGCACTCGATGTATGCACAAGGCTTATTCCTCTAAGAAAAAGGAGGAGTAGATGTGAAATAGAAAGAGACAGGCGCTCCCTTTACAGGCAACGGAAAAGAATAACAGAGCGGCTAAAAGAGGTCAATATATCTGAAATGCGTAGGGAGACACTGGTCAGAGAAATAGCAAGCATCGAACTTAAGCTAAAGGAATCTTATAGGAGTCAGGAATCGCGGGAAGAACTAAAAGCCATAAATGAAATCGAAAGAAACCCAAAGTATTTCTTCTCCTATGCCAAATCAAAATCGAGAACAACGTCCAGTATTGGGCCCCTACTTAAACAAGATGGGTCCTACACAGATGACAGCAAGGAAATGAGTGAGCTACTCAAGTCCCAATATGACTCAGTTTTTAGCAAGCCGCTAACCAGACTGAGAGTCGAAGATCAAAATTATTTTTTTTATGAGAGAGCCACAGAATTTGTTTAACACAAGCCTATCCGATGTTATCCTGACGCCAAATGACTTCGAACAGGCGATAAATGACATGCCCATGCACTCTGCCCCAGGGCCAGACTCATGGAACTCCGTGTTCATCAAGAACTGCAAGAAGCCCCTATCACGAGCCTTTTCCATTCTATGGAGAGGAAGCATGGACACGGGGGTCGTCCCACAGTTACTAAAAACAACAGACATAGCCCCACTCCACAAAGGGGGCAGTAAAGCAACAGCAAAGAACTACAGACCGATAGCACTAACATCCCATATCATAAAAATCTTTGAAAGGGTCCTAAGAAGCAAGATCACCACCCATCTAGAAACCCATCAGTTATACAACCCAGGGCAACATGGGTTTAGAACAGGTCGCTCATGTGTCTCAACTATTGGATCACTACGACAAGGTCCTAGATGCACTAGAAGACAAAAAGAATGCAGATATAATATATACAGACTTTGCAAAAGCCTTCGACAAGTGTGACCATGGCGTAATAGCGCACAAAATGCGTGCTAAAGGAATAACAGGAAAAGTCGGTCGATGGATCTATAATTTCATCACTAACAGAACACAGAGAGTAGTCGTCAACAGAGTAAAGTCCGAGGCAGCTACGGTGAAAAGCTCTGTTCCACAAGGCACAGTACTCGCTCTCATCTTGTTCCTCATCCTCTATATCCGACATAGACAAGGATGTCAGCCACAGCACCGTGTCTTCCTTTGCAGATGACACCCGAATCTGCATGACAGTGCCTTCCATTGCAGACACTGCAAGGCTCCAGGCGGACATCAACCAAATCTTTCAGTGGGCTGCAGAAAACAATATGAAGTTCAACGATGAGAAATTTCAATTACTCAGATATGGTAAACATGAGGAAATTAAATCTTCATCAGAGTACAAAACAAATTCTGGCCACAAAATAGAGGCGAAACACCAACGTCAAAGACCTGGGAGTGATCATGTCGGAGGATCTCACCTTCAAGGACCATAACATTGTATCAATCGCAATCTGCTAGAAAAAATGACAGGGTGGATAATGAGAACCTTCAAAACTAGGGAGGCCAAGCCCATGATGACACTCTTCAGGTCACTTGTTCTATCTAGGCTGGAATATTGCTGCACACTAACAGCACTTTCAAGGCAGGTGAAATTGCTGACCTAGAAAATGTACAGAGAACCTTCACGGCGCGCATAACGGAGATAAAACACCTCAATTACTGGGAGCGCTTGAGGTCCTAAACCTGTATTCCCTGGAACGCAGGCGGGAGAGATACATGATTTATATACACCTGGAAATCCTAGAGGGAC